ATAAGTTGCTCTAGGTAATATTTAATTTTACTAAAGAAAAATCCCAAAATGACTTTTCCCCTTAAGTTAATAAATTTTTTTTGTCCTTGAAAACAAAGCCCACATGATAGGTGAATGATACCTTGAAGTCTTTGTTCTCTGGGCTGAGTCTCAGAGCTGAGTGCATCAGACAAAGGACTAAAACTTGTAGGCTGAGGTCTAGAATCCCCAATTTCTCCCTTTTAACATGAATCCCAGGCTCTTCCAGAGCATCAGGCCAAGCCCTTACAGGCAAATGCCCATCTGGAGACTCAGAGGTGACAGATTAGATGACAATCCCTGTTCAGTATTATAAGTTATTAATGTGATATTTATCTTCTTTCATTTATACTAAGTCTTCAAAATTCACTATGCACTTTACACTCACAGCACATCTCAGTTCAGACTCGCCTCACCTCAAGTGTTTTGTGGTCACATAGAGCAAGTGGCTACCATGCTGGGCAGTGCCCCTCTCTCTCTCTGTATTACAATGTAGTTGACATGCAATATCATGTTAGTTTCAAGTGTACAAGATCATGATTTGATGTTTGCAGACACTAGGTAATGAGTTCCACAGTAAGTCTCGTAACCAACCGTCCTCATACAAAGTTACTGCAATGCTAGTGACAGTATTCCTTAAGTGTATTAACATCCCTGTGACTTACTATGTAACTGAAGGTTTGTACCTCTTAAGCCCCTTCACCTATTTCTCCCACCCCATCAACCCCTCTCCCTTCTGGCAACCACCAGTTTGTTCTCTGTATCTATGAATCTGTTTTCATTTGGTTTTGTTTGTTTGTTTGTTTTGTGGGTAGTGCTTCTCTGAGACTTTCTTTTCACAGTGCTGCCCCTTGACTAACTTGCCCATGGAAGTCAGAAGAGTGTTGGAGGCTGGTCTATTAGGGTGATCACTGGTATGAAGGTGCACTGGATGCAAGGACACAAGAAGAAGCCCCGTGGGAGGGCATCCATGACCCTTGTCATTCTTTACAAAAGAGAGAGATCTGAGATTACCATCCCCTTCAGAAACCAGAGGAGGCACCTCTTTGAACATGTGAGTGCTCTAAGAACTGGGAGGGAGCCTTCTTGAAGGCTGCCACAACTCAGAGCTGCACAGAGCCCAGTGAAGAGATGTGCTCACTAAGAGACACCGTGAGTGAAGCAGCCCCACCCAGAACACCAAGATCTCGGCAAGAGGAAAAGGGAAAAGGCAAGAGTCTGCCCCCAACTGTCTCTGGTAGCTCCTGCATCACTGCTGCTCTTGTATTTTGCTGATAACCCCATTATTTACTTGTTTACTTGAATTCCTCAAATGGACTGGATGCAGTTTACAAATATAGTTGGGTTATGGCAAGACATTAAAAACTCAAAAAAAAAAACAAACCCAAAAATGAGGCACGGGAGAAGGAAGAATAGAAAAGATAAGTGGAACCAAGTATGATGTTGGTTCAAAATACACATCCCTTAATGTCTCACATATTGCTCGAGAGGGGCTGCAGTGATCTGAGTCCAAGCTTTCTAACAGCCAAAGCAAAGTAAAGTACAGTGAGTGACATGAGTCCCAGCCCAGCACATAAAAACACATAGGAGTGGAGCGGGCACAAAGTCACACTGTAGTGCAGAGATGCGAGGACACTGGACAAAGCCCAGTGGGAAACATACCAGTGACACCAAAACTGTGTCACATCCTCAGAGTGACGTTCCTTTTGGATTCTGCCTTGAAAAGAAACTCCATCAGGCCCCAGCAGCCGACCTCAGCAGCACCTTGCATACATCAGTATGAAATCCTCTTCCATCTTCCCACCCACCGAGTGTTTCTCTCCTGTCTCTGGACGGAGGGCACCCCTCCTTGCTGTGCTGTAGAGGCTATTCTGCAGAGCCTGCCTGATGCTCTCCAGATACTCAGCTCTTGGGTGAACTGGCTTAATCTGGGTCAATTTAAGGGATTTAGAACAATGCATTTCCGTAGCAGGGACTACTTTGAGTTTACCAGAGCCAGCTTCCTTCCGTCCTGGGCACATGAGCACTTTTTCCCAGATGCCCTTGCAGCTGGGTGTGGCCTTGATACTGAGCTTGAGCAGAAGTAATGTGTGTCACTCCTGAGTTGAAATGGTTGGGAAGTAAATACATTCTCTCCATTACCCCTTTCCCCATCTGCTGGCTGAAAGGACATGGCTGTGAGGACCCAGAGGAAGTGGGGCCACAGGAAGGAAGAAGCCCGGGCTACAGAAGGTCTGGTGGAAGGACCCCCAGCCGGAAAACCTTCACTGGGCTGTGAGATGAGTGAGGAACCCAATTCTAATTTGTCAAGCCACTGAGAATTCCGGGTTTGCCTGTTAGAGAAACTAGTATTACTTTAACCAATACAGTGCCCTTTGGGAAATACTCTCTAAACACAATTCCTCTCAACCAAGAGGAACTGAAAGGTCTGAGTGACACTGAGTTCAAGGTTACATTCCCTGACAACTACTGAGAGTGCAAATATTCTCTGTTGCAGGGAAGTGGGTCGGTGTAAAACCTTGTGTTTTAATAGTCGCCCAAGGTGGGACTAAGATTAACACACTCTTGTCAAAATTGTGTCACCGTACAAGAGCTCCTGCCTGAACAGAAAGCTCTTGTATCTTCTTTTGGAGAGAAGCCAGGAGGCACCTGTGGGTAAGGCCAAGATTCTCCTCAGAAAGTCATCCTGGGTCTGCCTTAACACACCAAAAGACATGGTAATCAAAGCCACACCGTTTCTTACAATGTAATCTGCTATGGTAATTTTAATCTGAAAAACATTTTTAAATAGCTGCAGCCCTCTGACTGCTGCAGCCCTTAAAATCAAAACAAAACGTGGACGGTGAAGTTGGCCAAGTCCCCTCCTCTGCCTGGGCTTTCGTTTTCAGGCATGACGGATGACAACTGGATGTCATGGGACAGAACCGCAGTGTGTAATCTATGTGTGTGATGCCAAACAGAAACGCTCTACAGCACACAGCCATAGCAGGTTAGAAGTAAATACAGTTCTGTTCCTGTCGTTCCTACAAGGTGTGAGCGCTGAGCACCGGCTACCGTGGCAGAACAAACATTTCCAGGTGCTAAACCCATCGTACGAGGTGAGAATCTCGCAGTATTTATGCTGCAGGTCCTGGGGGCCAAAACCAGGAGGGAGACGTAGCCGCAGCTTCT